TCCATCTACCCATTTTTGGCGTTGGTGCATTCTGTCTACCCATTTGGCGTTGGTGCATTCTGCTGAACTGTATGCAGTAGCACTAAAAATTCCTGCACACAACCGCGGTTAATCGGCTGCGGGCATACTCGCGGAGTGCGGCATGTGAGTATCACGCAGCAGGCTTCCGCGTGGCACAATGTGATAACTAGGGTTCCGCAAGCGCAGCCACGTCAAGAATTGTTAGGTGGAGACGTTTTTGAGCTTCAAACGGGAGCCGTAGGGGAGGTCCGAGGTAGGAGGGGTTTCGCGGTTTCTTGGCATTATCCCATCAGGAAACTTGAGGGGAGAGGGAAAGAAACGCATTTGTGGTTGGGAGCGGGAGAAAACTTCTTCGAATTTTTGCGAACAAAATAGTGAGATGTATCAAAGTATGTAAAGAGAGGATAGCGATTTGAGAGTAAAAGCATGCAAGAAGACTCATCAGAAGTAAAACAAGGCTAATGGAGAGGTGGAGGGAACTTTAGAGAGCCGCCTACCGGCGACCGCCAGCCACACGAAATGAAGTGGATCTACGCGGGATACGCGCTGCCACAGTCTGCGCCTGCGTGTGGGCAGTCAGGGACGCAGAGTATGCACCTGTGTAGACGTGTTAGAGCGCAAACCAAGACTGCGGCCACACTGTGGGACCGTGCATACCCCATTACTGACGGTACACCCGTCATCCAAACGCTGTAGAAGCCAACAAGGAGACTAACACTGTAGTAACGAGGCGAAATTGAGGGCACGCATGCATGTTGCACTGCCGGCCATCGGTTATGACGCTGCTGTGCTTGCGGAACCCTAGTTTTCACGTGGTGCCACCGCGGAAGCCTGCTGCCTAAGACTCGGATGCCACACTCCGCGAGTATGCCCGCAGCCGATTAGTCGCGGTTGCGTGCAGGAACTTTCGGTGCGCTTCTACGTACAGTCCAAACGAATGCGCCACCGTCAAGAAGACTGGAGGACGGAGGTGTTCGTGTAGCTCCTGAAAGGAGATTCGAGGTGGCAGAGATTTGCAGTTTTGGAGCAGTATTTTATCAGGGAACGATAGCAAAGAGGGAAAATAACGCATTCGTGGTGAGGGGGAGGAAAATTCAAATTTTCTCCAACGTGTGCTACACCGTGTGTGGGGGAGCTGCTGGAGCCGCGCCAGACCGCCTGCCGGGACAGAAACCCATGCATTCAGCTCTGCATAAATTGACGGACTGGTCACTTGAATTGGCTGTACACCCCTGGCTCACGAATTTTTCGTTCTACAACGACTGCTATCACCTTTTCGAAGGGGGGGGGGCGGAAACAAGCGGGTGTGCGCGTCGTCAGCCACTCCTCCACCTTCTGTATACAGAAGCACCGGATACTCCGTGACAGGTGACTTCTGCTGTGAATCTGTGTGCATGCGAAAGAAATAGTACATTGGAAAGAGAATTACAAGTACCTATAAGAAGTGAACAAGGGAGCTGAAACTGAGTATGAATGAATCTTCGTAAATGATGCATGGCAACCGCTTACTTTTCAGTGTGAAGTTTTCGGTAGACGTGTCGTGGAAATCGCAGAGCAGGGAGAGAACAGTCACCTGTTCTTCAGTGCTCCACTTAACTTCACCATCTATGGGGAAATTTTTCATCTTCCAAACTCTTTTGACTTGGAAATATGCAGTAGAACAGGTAACGGCATGACTGCAATGACTGGTCATGCATTCCTCTTCCTGAAACTATGATTTCGGAAAGAAAAACAGGGCGTCCATAGATAAATGAACCTATGCAAAAAAGGCATGATCGAGACTTATATATGTACAATATACCTGTATCGACC